CTGATCAATAATTTGAAAACACAGATACTCCCTGACTTGTGATTGGGTTACATCCTGATAAACTCAATACATATACAAAATATCTTACATCAAAAATGCATTTAACATACTCAAACTGCCAAATACCCTCGCTTAGCACACAGCCCACTGTGGAGTATCAGTTGGGTCCCCTTGTGACTGTGTGGCAGCTGGAGGCTATGGCTCACTGCCACTGCCCAGCATCGAGAGCAGGTATCACACTACATAGAGCCAGCTCAGAAAGGGGGAAAACTCCAAAGTTCAAAGTATGATTCTACTGAATGTGTCGATTTCACACCATCATAAACGTTTTCACAATATCATAAATGCTTTCATACTGTTATAAACTCAAGAAACTGTAAAGCCTAGCCATCATAATTTGGGGACTGTCTATAGTGACTAGGACTATACAGAAAGTTTTTCATCTTTTTTAGTATATGTGCTGTCGAAGCGAGCACAAGAAAGTTTTTCATCTTTATTAGCTCTGTCAACCTGTGCCTTTATACTATTTGATGTCATGCTTAGAATATTACAAAGAAAAAAGCAAGCTGTAGAAAATTATGGGTAGAATTCTTTCATCAAGGAGGAGGAGGAGGAGGAGGAGGAGGAAGAAGCAAGCATGTGTGCATTCAAGATACTTAAATGACTGTCACACAGAAGGACCTGGAACGACCCATTTTAAGTTAGTAGTCCTCACACTGAGCTTAGCTTCAAAATCAGCGAGAAGGCTTGTTCCAGTACAGTGTCCGGGGCCCACCCCCAGTATTTCTCACTCAGTGGCCTTGCAGTAAGCCCAAGATTTTGCATTTCTAGCTGGGAATTGCACTACATGACTGTAATCTTAGCACTCTGGTGTCTGAGGCAGGAGGATGCCAAGTTCAAGCCCAGTTTGGGCAACTTAGTGACTTACCAAGAACCTATCTGAAAATAAAAAATGGTTGGAGATGTAGGTTGGTGAGAAGGCCCTTTTTTAAAGAAAACAAACACACCCCCAAAAAACCCTGAATTTCTAACAAGTTCTCAGGTGATAGTAATGCTATTTGACCATGAACCACACTTGGAGAAACATTGTTCTAAACTATCAAAAGCAGTCACCCATGACATTCCTTTTTTTTCCCCCTTAGATAAGTCTCACTCTCTTGCTGTGCTGTTCAGGTTGGCCTCAAACTCCTGCATACGGAATCCTCCTCTAGCTGGGAATACAGGCATGTGCCACCATCCCCAGCAAGGAGAAGAGAATTTTAAAAACTTTATTCACTACCACAATAACTAAGAATATCTTTGATAGGTAAGGGGGAAAATATTGTTGAAAATTTGAATATAAAAGCACAAATAAGTACAAGGTATTTTACAAATGCAAAGCATTCCTGAGGGTTAAACTCAAGGCTTTTGCACTGAGCTATATCCTTAGTCCTTTGCTAAAATGCTAAGTTGCCTAGAACGGGCTTGAACTTGTGATCCTCTTTCCTCAGCCACCCAGAGTTCTGGGATTACAGGCGTGTACCACCATGTCTGGCTATTAATGCAAAGCATTATTTACAGACACTTTGTAGGAGACATATTTGAAGATCCCATTCCACCTGCCATGAGTACCATGTTGACCTAGCTGGAAAATAATCAACCTTGAAAACTAGAGATCAAAAATGCTAGCCCCAGTCAGCCTATCCTTGCCTTATCTGACTTACTGAGTAGCCACCAACAAGAGAACAGTGATGGCAGGTAGAAATTGACACACCACTAGAAATTGACATACAAATTCACTGTCCTTCATAAGCTTCACAATCAAGAATTTAGTAGCAGAATACAAGAAACACATTTAAGCCAAAAAGAAATTCATAGACTAAATATCAAATGATGGAAAATAATATTCTATACAACAGGAGCCTCAAAGCAAGCTGGTGTAGCTTTCCTATTTTCAGACAAAGTGGACTTCAAGCCAAAACTGATCAGAAGATGCAAAAAAGGCCACTACATATGGGTTAAGGGAAGTATTAAACAAGAAGAGATGACAATTGTAAATGTATATGCACTGAATCCTATCACACCCAACTTTGTAAAAACATACTACTGGACATAAAAGATCAGATAAACATCAGCACAATTATAGCGGGGGACCTCAATACCCACCTATCACAAGTAGATAGACCAACTAGATAAAAAAAAAAATCAACAAATTATCAGAATTAAACTATACCTTTAAACAAATGGATTTAATGTCTGTCTACAGTGTTCCACCCAACCACAGAATACATATTCTTCTTAGCAACCCAGAGAACTTTCTCCAAAATAGACCACATACTAGTCCATACATGCATAAATAAATACAAAACACTCAAAATTATCTCATACATATTATCAGATTATAGCACAATGAAACTAGAAGTTGGTGGCAAAACCCCCCCACAAATAATACACTCTTGAATAGTCAATGAGTCACAGAAAAAAAATCAAAGAAGAATTAGAGTTTCTAGAATCAACCAACAATTCAGTACAACATACCAGAACTTATGAGATATAGTGAAAGCAGCCCTAAGGAGACATCTACAGAGTGAATGCCCACATCAGAAAAACAGAGTAAGCCTAAATAAATAACCTAATTATGTACTTCAAGGTCCTAGAAAGACAAAGAACAATCTAAATACAAAACTAGTACAAGTAAGGATATTATGAAGGTTATAGTAGAAATTAATGAAATTGAGACAAAAGAAATCATACAAAGAATCATTGAATTGAAGAGCTAGTTCTTCAAAAGAATAAACAAATAGACAAACTCTTACCCCATCTTACCAAAAGAAGGAAAGAAAAGACCCATCTGAATGCAATTAGAAACAAGGCAAAATCACAGCAGACACCACTGAAATCCAGAATATGTACCAGATACATATAATCCAAAAAGATATAAAAACCTCGAACAGTCCAATAACAGGCAATGAAATTGAGGCAGTTATAAAACCCCTACAAACTAAAAAAAGCCCAGGACTTAATAGATGCACCACTGAATTCTATAAGAACTTCATGGAAGATCTAATGGCAATACTCCTCAAACTTTAATGAAATTGAAAGAGAAAGAGTACCACCAACTCCTTTGTGGAAGCTAGCATTATCCTGATTCCAAAATCAGACAAGAACTCAACTGAAAAAGAAAACTACTGGCCAATCTCTTTAATGAACATAGATACAAAAATCCTCAACAAGCTATTGGCAAATGGAATGCAACAAATGATTAAAAAGATCATATACCATGACCAAGTAGCCATTATTCCAGGGATGCAAGGATGGTTCAATATATGTAAATCAATAAATATAATTCATCATGCAAACATAAACAAGAACAAAAATCACATGAACATCTTAAGAGATGCTGAAAAAGCCTTTGACAAAATCCAATATCCATTCATGATAAAACCCTGAAGAAAATAGGTATAGAAGGACCTTATCACAGTCTGCTAAAACCATTTATGACAAACCTACCGAAAACATCATATTAAGTGAGATGAGCCGGGGATTTAGCTCAGTGGTTCCAACACCTGCCTCACAAGTGTAAGGTCCCGAGTTCAATCCCTGGCACAAAAAACAAAACAAAACAAAACAAAACAAAAAAGTGAACAGAATGGGAAAAAGTGTTACCAACTACTCCTCAGACTGAGGAATAATATATAGACTATATAAAGAACTAAAAAAAATTAGGTCCCCCCAAAATAAAAGAAGCAATCAAAACATGGGCAGTTGAAATGAACAGACACTTCTTAGAAGAAGTACAAATGGCCAATAAATACATGAAAAATGCTCATCATCTCTGGCCATCAGAGAAATCCAAATTAAAACAACACTGAGATTCCATCTCACACCAGAAAGAATGGCTACCACTAAGAAATCAAATAATAACAAATGCTGTCTAGGCTGCAGGGAAAAAAAGAAACCCTTCTATATTGCTGGTAGGAGTGCAACCACTATGGAAACCAGTATGGAGATTCCTCAAAAAACTGAAATAAGAAACTGTTTGACCCAGCTATTTCCTTTCTGGGTATCTTCCTGAAAGAGTCAAAGACATCATATCACAGTGATTCATGCACACCCACATTTATAGCAGCACAGCTCATAATAGCTTAATCTTGGAAGTAGCCTATATGGCAATAGATGAATGAATAAAGAAAATGTGACATTTACACACAGTGGAGTACTACTGTGCCATAAAGAAGGATAAATTTGAGTCATTTGTAGAAAAATGGATGTGGTTTGAGACCATAATGTTAAGTGAAATAAATCAGATACACAAGCTTAAATATTTATTATATTGTTTCTCTTATATAAGAAACCTAAAGTATAAATGATTTAAAGAACAAAATAAAAGATAATAGGGCCAGGGATGTAGCTAAATGGCACCATACTTGTCTGGCAAGCACAAGGTCCTGAGTTCGATCCCCAGTACAAGAACAACAACAACAAAGAAAGATAATAGGAAACAAGAAGATAGAACTTTTGCAAATGGAAACAGGAAGTTAAAAAGAACTAAGATGTGTTATGTACATGTAACAACTCCCCATGATGAATGTAATCATTTGTACTGCAAGCATGTGCTTGTAAAAATTTTTAATTTTTTTAAAAAAAGAATTTAGGAGTAGAGGAAAGGCCTGGGTTGGGGGTTAGGGCAGATCCCAGGTATGGGACTGTGGAGAAATAAACATGAGATTTGGAGTAAGAGAGTTCTGGGCTCAGATCCTGGCTTTGGGCATTACTCTCTGACCCTCAATTTTCTGATCTGTAAAATGGGGATATTAAAACTTGTAGCACATTGCCTGGTACATAGCAGGTGCTCAGAAATGGAGCCCTGGGAATCTTGCTTAGTGGAGCCTGTCTCCCTCCAGACCCAGCTGGGGTGTCAGGCCCCAGAGAGAATATTCCAGGGCTGCTCTGGCCCATGGCAGCATGGGGCTCCCACGAAGTCGGCTTCAGGCCCTTGGCAGAAGGAAGGTTGTACCTACCCCAAAAGAGATGTAGGCACCCAGTAGGCTGCCGGCGATGGTGGCATAGCCCCCAGTCATGACCACGTGGACCTCAGAGAGTGTCATGTCTGCCAGGTAGGGCCGGATCAGTAGGGGGGCCTCGGTCTGCAAACAGGACAGACATCAGCTCGGTCACAGTGAGTGCTGGGGCCCCAGAGGAGGGGACAGCAGGTGGGGAGAAGACTGTCTCTGTGCTTGACTGCTCTCTGGGCCTCTGACCCTCGGTGTCTGTCCCCTCTGTGCAGGACCCCAGGTTCCCTGTGTAGACAGCCCACTGTAGGTCTGGCACCTGCCGCATCCTTTGCTGCCTTCCTCCCGACCTCTGTGCAGAACTGGCCACCCACTGCCCAGAAGTCGGAACAGAGGCCTAGGAAGCAGCACCCATCATGCCAGGCCTCACTTCTGGCAGAGCCATGGGGCTGCCATGGAGAAGAGCAGGGGCCTTAGAGGCTGTGCTCACTTCAGGGCCACTCACTTGTCACCCAGTTCTGTTTGGCTTTTGGGGTGCTGGGGGTAGAACCCAGGCCTTGAGCACGCTAGGCAACTGGGCAACTCTGTGGCTGCACATGTGTGGTTTTGACAGGTCCCTCGGGCACACGTGAGGGACAGACAGAGAGGTGGGATGGAAGCAGAGAGAGGGGACATTCCTGTGATGACAGAGGGAATTGGGGTCCTGTTGGTCAGGTCCCAGATATTCAATCTGAATGCCCCAGATGTCTGAGTGGAAAGCCAAGCGGCTGGATGGGCATGTTGGTCTGGAGTCCAGGGGACGGGTTAGGGTTCCAGAGGGGGACAAGGGGTACATTGAAAGCATCTGGAGCCATGGGCTGCTGTGGTCCTCTGGGAGCGCATGTGGACTCTGGCAATGGTACTGCCACTCCGAGAAAGCACCCATCCTCTTTCCTTGAGGGAAATGAGGCAAAGACTTGGAAGTCTGGCCAACTTGACTGACAACTTATCCAAAGCTAATTGACCTTGGTAGCTCTTTGTGTCACCTGATATCACATGCACTACAATTTATAATTTCTCAGCAGAAATGGATTGGTTTTGCAGTCTCTCATGTGAAATAATAATTTGTGTCTCAGGGTTCTCTTCCTCTTTTGCCTCATTTTGGACATCTGAAGAGATTTGGGGGACAACTTATCTGAGAGGACAGCTGTCTTAATTGGTGAATAACAAACAAAAACCTGTGAGATCAACTCATTTGTATTATAGCCCAAAAAAAGACAAAAATTCTCCAAAGCTTCCAAAACTATTGGATGAAATAAGGCATCTTTTGGCAAGCATGTCTCTCAGGGACTTGGAAGTGAAGCAGACGGGCCAAGACAGACCCTAGGAAGGCCTCCAGAGTCTCCCTGTCAGGGAATCAGGCCTGAAGGGACTCAGGAGTCACATGTACTTTGGAAATACATTTTCAGAAAGAGGGAGAGGAAAGAAAGACAAAATGATATAGAGGGAATAACCCTGGCCAGGAAGGAGGAAACCTGATTCCAATCTTGGCTTATCCATGTGGGATCTTGGCCATGTCACCCCATTCCTAGCCTCAGTTTCCTCATGTAGGACTTGTGAGGGTCTCAGCCCAGGAGAGTGCAGCCCCTCAATGAAGTACCCCAGGCATCCCAGGGCAGCGGCCTCTGGTGACCCCAGCAGAAGGCTCCCATGGCCATTCCCTGAACTGAATTAGAGCTGGAGACCCAGCACACCCTGCCCTCTTTGGGGAGCAACATCACCCACCTGGCTCACAAAGATGTTTCCTGCCACACTCAGGGTCTCGGTGGCCGTGGTGCCCATGGTGATCTGCATCAGCCAGGAAATCTGGGGAGGAAGTGGGTACTCCTGGTGAGCTGATGCTAGCAGGCCACAGAGTGAGCAAATCCAAGGTGGGAGCCATTTCCAAGTCTCCTTCCAGCTCCCCACCCAGCACAGAACCCTGCTACACTGAATGTCCTCGCCAAAACTCAGGCTGAAGTTGAACTCCCATTGTGACAGTATCAAGAGGTGAGACCTTTCAGGGGCAATTAGGTCACAACAGCTCTGTTCTTAGTTACAGTACTGGGGAAGTAGACTCCCAATGAAAGGATAAGTGTGGTGCCTGCCCTTCCTCTCCATGTCTCACATGCCTGCATGTCCCTCTGCCATGGAGCAGGCAGCATGGAGGCACTCATCACATTCCAGGGTCATGTTCTTGGACTGCCCAGCCTCTGGATCCATGAGCCAAATAAACCCCTATTGTCTAAAATTACCCAGTCTGTGGTGTTCTATTAGATCAACAGGAAGTAGACTAAGACAGAGCTCCTCATATGCATTCCCCAAAAGGTCCATTTATCTTCTTCCACTGAGGGGGGCTTATCACTTCCCAAGACCACTGTTAGGATGTGCATCTTAACTATGATAGTTCCAGTCACTAGAGCAGGGCTTCCAGAGTGTGTGTTCTCCATCTGCTTAGCTAAATATATTTGATAATTGGTACACACACACACACAGCCCTTAGAGATTACCAATACATATTAACTTAGTAAAGGCTTTAAAAGGTCCTGCTTGTTTAAATTTGTTTAGCATTGTGTCTAACCTGGTTGCCTCAGATTATTTGATCAGGGATCCCTGTACCTAATAACATTTATTAACACACTGGGGAATCAGAGGTTTGCAGAAGAGCGTTTGGGAGATACTGTAAGAAGCTCTTCCTTCTAGTCAAGATGAAATCTGACTCCGGCAAGTCTCTCTCCACTGGCTCTCTAGCTACTCTTTCTGCATTGTGGCTCTTACTTCCTCTTTTCCAGGCCCAACGGTCCTTATTTCTTTCACCATTCCATGGAGGGTGTGGTTTCAAGCCCAGGTTTTAGTTCCATTTGTCCTATCCCTGTGGTGCAGCATGCTCCCCAGGTCTAGAGACAGTCACCTGCCTCATGCTACAGAGTGTGCTATTAACATAACCACAGGTTACTTCTGGATTGCTGGCAGCCACCCCTGATGCTGACTTACTCTGAGCTCCATCAGCTAAGACCCAAGTCTCTTGCCAGGTCCAATGCCAGCCATTGTTCTCTCTTATGTCCTAGTTTTATGCAGCAGATTTTATGAACATAAGCACAGGATTTGACATTTATGCCAGCTAAATCTGGCCAGTGTAACCCACTGTTACAATTTCTCATGATCTTTTGGGTATAAATTATATTTATACCCTAACGACTCAGTGTAGCCTCAAAATTGCAATCTTCCCACCCACAGGGATCATAATGGATTTTGACGTCATTTCTTCTTAAAATGACAACAAAAGACATGTGAATGAATATTTGGTTTGCAGTACAGTCTGGGAGAATGTGAAATGGGAGCAGAGGATTCTGGGGAGGTGCGGACATCAGGAGCAAGGGATTCTGGGAGGATGTGGTCCCAGGAGCTGGTGAGTGGGGATGGGAACTCACCTTCAAGATCACCCATTGCATCAGACCCATATAGTAGAGCACTGACATGACACAGCTGAAGAAAACAATGATGGGCAGAACCTGGCAGCAAAGAGAGCACAGGAGCCAGGTTAGAGGCAGGCAGGGCCAGGAGACCCAGGCAGCCCCCCTCCCTCTGGGACTTGGCCACTTGGGCTTCACAGGCTTGGGAAGAAGCTGTGACCAGAGCAGAAAACCCCAGTGTTGGCATGAGGGGCATCTTGGAAGCACTACTGTCTTCTGCTCCCCTCCCCACAGTGACAATCCACGGGCTGCCCTCCACCACCGACAGGGTGAGTGCATGCCCCTTAGCACCTGCTAAATGGGGATGGGGGCAAAATGCTCACTTCAGGGCTGCTGTGAGTGAAAGGGACCAGCTCTGGCCTGGCAGCCTGTATGGTGTCCCTACCCCCAGGCCTCAGTCCCTGGCCTGTGACTGTGGCCCACATTAGCCTGAATGAAAGCACTTTGTCACTGGCTTCCCACTTCCACTCTGTACCAACAAGCTCGGAGCAGACTCACCCTGGACCTTCGCCCAGCACCTCATCCTGTCACCCATTTCCTTCCCTCAGCCTCAACCCCTCTCCTCATTCTCTCCAGACTCAGCAATTCTTCCACCCTCCCATCCATTCCTTCTTTTCTAGGCCCACAGCCCACCCAGGGCTTTCTGGCTCAGTCCCCATCTTTCAGCAAAGGGAAGACTGATTTAATAACCTGGTGTGGCTGTACCATGGTGCACTAAGCATCCGGAGAAAAGAATGAGGAAGCTCTCTGGGGAACTGGCAGGATGATTTCCAAGATAGGCTGTTAAATGAGGAAAGGAAGGCTCACTGCCAGGGAGAGAGCTGAGTGATCCTGTGTGGGCACAGGAGGGCACGGGAAGGACAGGCATGGGATAGTGACAGCGGTGCCCTGGGGAGGGACAAAGGGGTGAGAGGTGGGAAGAAGGTTTGCTTTTTACTTTATGGCCTTTTGCACTGAGTATTTGTAATATTCATCTTTCAAACACTTAAAATAATCCCTGTTAAAGTCATGCAGAATTGGTAATAACAGGGGAATATTCTTATGCTAAAATGTCAGTGGGAAAATTGGAATATTAAGAAAAAAAACACAAGGGAGGATCCCGGAAGGCAACACTCCCAGGATTTGCTTCTGTGTGCTGGAGCAATGAGAATTTTTTTTCTATCTCGAGTTTCCCATCTGTTCCTCTAATTTTCTAGAATAGGTGGGCACTTCCGAAGTGAAGGGGCAAAGGCAGAGGAGAGGTCTGGAGGAGATTAACAGTTGGGTTTGAGATGCCTGTGATACATCCAGGCTGCACATGTCACGTGAACAGCTGGGGAAAAGTCAGGAGCCAAGATCCGGGTCAGGCCTGGGGGCCTCAGCTATAAATGTATGGGGCGGGCTAGACGGATATGGTTCCCTGAGAAAACTGCCCGAGAGGGGGCGGCAAGGACTGAGGACAGGGCTCTGGGTCAGCATCACTGAGGGGTCGGGGCGGGGGAGGACACTGAGGCCTAAAGATGTCCAGGAGAGGGCATGCCAGCAGCTGAGGATGCACAGCCAACCAGGTATGGGGGTGCCCCCAGCTCTGGCCCGGTGACCTTGGCACTTAGCAATTTGGGGGGCACTGGTAACCTACATGAGAGCAGTGCCAGAGTGGGGGTGGGGACAGAGGCTGAACGTCAGCTGACCAAAGCGGGGGAGTGACAAGAGGCACAGCTGGAAGGGCCGAGGGTCCAGCAGGGCTTGTGCTTGTCTTTGAAAAGGGAAGAGTTTTGAGCAGCTGGATTTAGCTCTCCTTCCAAACACAGATCATGGCCCCAGGTGGCTCCAGCCGAGAGGAGAAACAGCCCAGCTGGGGCCCCCTCCTCTCCCACACCATTCCACTCTACATCTGTCACCAATGTCACTGCAGGTGGGGATGTCATCTGACAGGGAACACAGCGTTGGCTCCTAAAGCCCTCTCTTGCCAGTGACTGCTTGCTGCCTAGGGCACTGATATCAGGCTGCCCTCGCAGGAGCTACTCGAGGAGGATCACGTACTGTCTAGACTGGCTGTGCAGCTGGTCATGTGAGGGGCTGCCGGTGGCTGGCAGGGCTGCAGAGCCAGGCCGAGCCAGGAAGGAGGTGCCCAGGCACATGATCGGACCACAGAATTAGCACCAAGAGAGTTTATCTGCAAGATGGGGATCTGGGGTGGGGGGAGGAAGCTGCATTTTGGATTAAGTGGTGACCATCTAGGGAGGGGAGGGAAGGAAAATGGAAGAGAACAGAGGTGACCTCTGCTTTTCTAAGGTAGGGCTTTTAATCCTAAATATGGTCCCTGTGGCCAATATGACCTCACAGCCCAGGATATACCTTTGAGGCCTGCAGTGCTTAGAATGGCAGAAGAACAGAGCAGGCATCGCAGGGCAGTGCTGCCATGGAAGGACAAGGGAAGTGCCAGTAAGTCCTACTGTGTGCCTACTATGAGTCCACTGTGTGCCAGACACCCAAAGTGTGGTGGCTCTCTGAGCCTTAAAGCAACTAAAGTAAACGTTAACTGTCTCCACTTCACAAATGGACACCCTACCTGCCCAAGGTCATATACCTAAAAAGGGACAGACTACTGGCCACCAGACAGGTTGCCAAGGTCCTGCAGCAGACTTGCCATGGCAGAGCTTGCTTCTCTGTCTTCAGGGGCACTGTGCATCTCTGCTATAGACTGAATGCCTGTGTCCCCTCGAAGGCATATGTTGAAACCTAAGCCCCAGGATGATGGTATGAGAAAGAAGTATCCTTATAAAAGACATCCCAGAGCTAGACATGATCACACACTCTTGTAATCCCAGCTATTCAGGAGGCTGCAGCAGGAGTTTGAGGCCAACCTGGGCAACTTTGCATGAAACTCTGTCTCAAAATAAAATTTTTTGGGCTGAATACAGAGAGCAATAGTAGAGTACTTGCCTAACATGCACAACATCCTGGGTGCAACTCCCAGTACCACACATAGAACTGATTAATTACAAATAAAGAATATTTTAAAAGGCCAGGGATGGAGCTCAGTGGAGAGCACTTGCCTGGCATGTGCAAGGCCCTGGGCTCCATCCCCAGTACCATAGGAAAAAAAAAAAGCAGCAGCCTCCTCCTCCTCAGACAGCTCCTTCTTCCAGTATGTAAAGACACAGAGCAAAAGGTGGTCTAGGACGTGGAAGAGGCCCTCATCAGAACCCAACCCTGCTGCAGCCCAGCTTCCAGAATGATGAGGCCTAGTGTTTACAAGCCGCCCAGTCCATGGTTTTATTAGCAGCCCTAATGGACTATGACTATTCTCCTCAAAGAAGAGCCAAGTTGGTGCTGACCCCGGCTTTGCAGAAATGGTCACTGAGGAGGAGGAGCTCCCAGCTCTCCTGGGCCAGTGGGGTGCACAGTGTGGCCAGCTGAGGATTCATGAGAAAAGTGCACATTGAGCCCCCACCCTAGAGTTTCAGACTCAGCCTTCCCCATCCTGCACCACGCAGCACCCTCTGAGACCTCTGCTCCAAAGTCCAGACCATGCCACAGGGCAAACATAATCACCTTGCCTGAGTCAGGCTCCGAAGGCAGGACCATGCCCACCAAGGGCCCTGCCCTTCCTGTCCCAAGAGTAAGCAGAACCATCACTCATGATGACTTCCTAAGACTTTGTCAGCAGGCCCCATGTCCCCAGATGCCAAGGCCCAAGCACTGTAGACAGTGCTCTGTCACCAGCCATGGGCCACAGTGAGTCACAAAACTGAGGATCCCTTGGGGAGACTGTAGCCAAGATTGCAGCCCCACCATCGCCAAAGCAGGGGGGCTCAGGTCCAACACACTGGGCTCCTATTGTCCCTGCTTGTGTGCCTGATTTCCCATTTGTGCCACCCCTTCACCCAGGATGACCTCACCACTCTGCCCCTCATGCCTATCCCTGCCTGGGGACCTTGTTCACAACAGAGCTCTTTTGCCTCAATTGTCCCACGTCCCTTTCAGCCACTCCCTCCCTGAAGATGGTGCTCACTAAGGTTGCCCTGCCCTCTTACCAAATCCTGTGGCACCTTTCAGGCCTTCTCTCATTTGATCTGATGGTGTGTGTGTGTGTGTGTGTGTAAAATTTGGCACTGCTGACAACTGGGGATTACAGTCAGCCTCAGGCAGATGCCCAGGATCTCTGGAGAGATGAGAACTCGGGGTTCCTGGGGGAAATCCAAGCAGCTGTGCTGGGCTGAGGAGGTGGGGGCATGTTCCAGAGGCTGAGCCATGGGGAAAGAATGCGCCCGTGACCCCCCAGGTCAGCCAGCCCAAGGACGCAGAAGCTGGAGGTGCTCATGTGGGTGGAAAGTTACTGGAAGGACACAGAGCCAAGGTGGAATGACTAATCGAGCTGATCCAGCCAGGAGGTGGCCGCCACGTCTTTGGCTGGGCTGGGATCCAGGGCCAGGGTAGGTCGAGGGCTGAAGAAGTCCCAGAGAAGGACTGAACTTCCTGAAGAAGAGAGTGCTGGACCTCGCCCGGCAGGAAGCAGCTTGGATTCTGGAAGTCTGAGTGAGCTCTGGGGAGACTCCCAGGCTGAACAGGCCAGAACCCCGTGATTCACAGAATAGACAGAGGGAAAGCTCCAGGGTTGCACATTCAACTCAGAACCAGGCAGGGCTACCCCCACTTAGAGGGCAAGCCCCAGGGACAGAGACAGACAGAGATAGAGACAGCAGGACAGGGAGAGAAAGGGTGTGAGGAAATGAAATCTTGTCATTAGTGACTCTTAGGGAAAAGGGAATTCTGTGGCCAGGGAGTATTTGTCTCACATCTCCCCCACGTGGCCTGGCTTTGCTAAGGATGCCATTGGCCATCACACTGACCAAGAACTCCTCCAGAGGCTGGGCCTCCCAGGGCCAGGAAATTGCTAGTGCTTGTTTGACTGTGAAATGCAGAGCCTGGGTAATGATAAACCCACCTCACTGGCTACTTCCCTCTTAGCTGAACGTGGAATCTCAGTCTTTTGCTGCCATGGCTACAGTTCCCAGTGGGCATTGATTCCCCCCACCCCGCAAGTGGACATAGTGATTAGAGGTGCCTTTCATGTTTGAGGGAGAAGCAGGATGCCACTGAGCTCTGTGTACAGCTAACAAAGGCCCTATGCTTCCCCCCAGGTGAGGTGGCCAGGAGCTCCCTGCTCCCCTCTGGGGCATGGTGGAGCTCTCTGTAACAGAAAGGGAGCCCCGAAGCCACTGGGGTCCCTCCTAGACCTCAGGATCTAGAAATGGATGGTTCTGAGCCAATTAGGAAATAAGACAGGTACCAGATGTATTCTTCCAGGATAGGAGGACACAGGAAGCTAGGTGACACTCCCAGGGCTGCGCTAGAGAGAAGGGGTGGGGGCACTGGGGGACACCTGCTGCTCAGCTTTCCCAGAACCCCTTCCCCTGCTTCTCTGCCTCTGAGAAACCACCTTCTTCCACTCTCTGCCTCTGGGCTCCAGGTGTGACCAAAGCCTGGCTACAGTTCATCGGAAACCAAACTAGACCAAGAAGAGCCCACCCTGGGCCTCTTGCTGAGCTAGTGGGAAAATGTCTGTCTTATCTGTCTGTCTTTCCTTCCTTGCCTATCTCCCTCCCTAGATCTCGAATGTGGCTGGATATAAGCCTGGTACATATCTGCCATCAGCACAAGACAGCCTGCTCAAGGCTAAAGCCAATAATGAGAGAACAGAACCAGGATGTAAGTAAGCAGGTCCCAGTTCATATTTAGCACCTGGATCCAGCAGGCCCTGAAGCTTCTGAGTCTCCTGGTTATAGGAATTAATCCCCCCACCCCCAGTCAGTCTGTGTTGTGTTCCTGTCACTTATAACTAACTCAGGAGCTAAGCACCCAGCCAGAAAGTGCAGCCTGGTCTCGCAGATGTGACCTAAGCTATAGGAGAAAAGATCAAAGAGCCCACGCCAGTGCTGCTTCTCCCACGCTGAATGCCACATGTCACCTGGGACTTGATCCTATCCTAGATCCCAGAGGTCCCAAAAAACAGGGGTCTGTCTGCCTTGTGCATTTCCAAGGCCTGCTTCTACCTAGTCAGAGTGTCTCTCTCCCCAGTGTCAGGTGTGCACGCACCTCCCTGGTTCCCATGGCAGGAGCCCAAGGCTGGCCTCTGGGAACTGATCCTAGTGGACCAATCAGAATCCTTCCCTAAGACTTGTCTAATGGGGGCTGATGCAGAAGAGTTGCCCCAGCAATGCATAGTGAGGATGAACCCTTCCTGTCACCAGGGTCAGGGTGAGGCCTGGGGCAGCATCACCAGTTCTACTTTGCCTAGTTTGGAAGCCAAAAGTGGCTTTTTCACTCTTTAAAGCAAGTTACAAATAAGTTTCCATCACTGGGGACCAAACAGTCCTAAGTATGCTATTTTCTTATAATCCAGGGAAAAACTGACCATCCTAAAGTCTAGGCTCTTTGTCACCATGGCTAAGGAGAGGGCTCAGATACCAGGCCCAGAAGCTGAAGAGTAAGAGCAGCTGACTTGGGCTCACATCTTGACCCCAGCCCTCAGGAGCTGTGTCACCTTGTGCCACTCTGAGCCTCTAGATCCTCATCTGTGAACAGGGATGAAGTATTTTCCCTGCAGAGTGCTTGCAAGGCAGACTGCCCTATCTCTCCATCAGCAGGGATTGTTCTCACAGGGAGATGAGCTGTTCCCCTTCATCTCTCCTAAGCTTTTCTTCTCTGACCAAGATGTCAGGAATAGAGGAGACAAAAAGTTCCATAGTGGCCCTGAGCTTTGCTCCAAAATCTGTATGTAGCTCTTGGTCCTAGAGGGCTGGGAAGGCTGAAGAAAGGGGTGCTGAGCCTGAATACTGGCCCCAGGGAAATGGTGGCCCAGCCAGCTGCTGGGGAGCTCTTGGAGCAGGATATTCCCAGGAGGCACAGAAGGACTTCCCAGAGGCACACAAGGACCATCGTTTACATGCTTGGATCTGGACCCCAGCCCTGATTTAAAACCAGTAGCTGTGCTGCGGCTGCTCTGGCTGGAACTGTGGTTCTCGTTCTCTCTGGTTTCCTTTACTGATTTTAGATCAGGGCTGGGGCTCATCCATTGGACAATTAGGTCTTCAAAATTGAAGAGGGTCTTTTATTGGCAGGAGGGTATTTCCTAGGGCTTGACCCAGGCCCTTCACACTGAGTACATGCCCAGCTCTTAACTGTATTTTTTATTTTGAGACAAGATCTTGCTAAATTGCTAATTTGCCCAAGCTGGACTCAAATTTCTGATCTTCCTGCCTCAGCTGCCAGAGTGCTGGAATCACAGGTGTACACTACCACGCCTGGCTTGGAAGTGGCTTTAATATCAATTTCCCCTGTAATGTCTTCTATGACAGGAGATGCACAGTAAATTTTTGTTGGAAGGAAGAAAAGAGAAGAAGCGGGGAGGATAGAGGAGGGAAAAGAGGAGAGAGTTACAGCTGGACTATGAAGGGTGGGCTTCCTGGTGGAGGCAGCTGAGGTCCCTGGAAGGGGAAGCACCTGAGAAGACCACTGAGCCTCTGGAAACTGTCCTTCCTAGGCCACAGCCCCACAGCATGTCAAGGCTAAGGTCCTGGCAAGCCCTCTACCCCACTTCTTGTCCTCAGCCTCCAGCAATTCTGTCGTGTAGGGGCTTGAGTTGAAGGAAAAGAATGCCACAATAGCACTTTTCCAAATTTTACAAACCGTAGCAAAAACATAACACCAAATGAAAACACATCTAGGCGCCCCCCCAGGACCCCAAGACTTAAGCCTGGTCAGCTCCCAGGAGCCACTGTGTGCCCGGGAAGCCCCACTGCTGCCTCGGGCTCCCCGCTAGCTGGAGGTCAGACCAAAAGTCACACTGACCTGAAAGGCGAAGACATCCTTGACCAGAGCCTCCCCAAACACAAAGGCGGACCCTGCTGTGGTGTAGCTCAGGAAGATCTGGAGGGAAGAAGAAAACAGGAAGTGAGGCTGGGAATAGGGGAGGAAGCCAGAGCCCCAACTGGCTGGGAGAGAACGATGCTGGGGCCACAGGTCCTCCTGGCATCAAGGGGGTTGGCCCTGCGACAGTCCCCTCATCCCCAACCTGGCCATGTGCACTAAAGCAGCGATCCCAGGCACTTGCTCCTTTGGAGCACATTCTGCTGAAGAGACACCTGTTTGGTCAATTTTAAAGAAACACTCAGAGCTGGGGATTTAGCTCAGTGGTTCCACCGCCTGCCTTGCAAGCACAAAGAGCCGAGTTTGATCCCCGGTACCAAAAATAAATAAATACATAAATAAACACTCAAAGAGTTGTAAAGGACAATAAAGAAGAGATGATGAAGCCAGGCATGATGGTATAAACCTGTAATCCCAGCACTCTAGGAGGCTGAGGCAGGAAGATGAGTTCAAACCCAGTCTGGGCAACTTAGTGACTTAATAAGATCCTGTCTAAAAATTTAAAAATATTTAAAAGGGGGTGGGGGGACCTGGGAATGTAGCTTGGTGCAAAGGCCCTAGGTCCAATCTCCAAAATGAAAACAAAAACAAAAAAAACAAAGAGCAAAGAGACAATGGAGGAAGCAAGGCCTTGTATGCAGGCACAGGTAGCGCCTGCTGTGCCCCCTCAGTCCCGACAGCTAATGGCACACCCTGCCTCTGCTGTCCCCACCCCAGGCACACTTCTCCAGGGAACCTGTGTTCGAGTCCTGAACCGGCATGGTGACCCCAGGGACAAGTCACTTGTCTAGTCCAGGCGTCAGTGTTCCCAACTACAGAATGGGCATGTGACCCAGCAGGTGGCATCAGCAAGGCCAGCAGGTGAGCACAGAGCCAGGACAGGGCCATGGATGTGCCAGTCAGTGAGAAGAGGTGAGCAGGGGTTTCACCTGTACCCTCCACATTCATAGTTTGAAAAGCAAACCAAACCACTGTGAGGAGACACGCCTGTAATCCTAGCATTTAGGAGGCTGAGGCAGGAGGGTTTTAAATTGGAGACCACATACATAGTGAGTTCAAGGCCAGCCTTGACTTCATAGTGAAACCCTGTCTCAAAAAAAAGGTAGATCAAGGGTTGGGGATTTAGCTCAGTGGCACTGTGCCTGCCTCACAAGTGCAAGGTCCTGAGTTTGATTCCCCAATACCAAAAAAAAGATAGATTATGATAGTTTTACAACAATATGCGTGAACTTAGTGACACTGAAAAATGGTAAATTTTATGTTCTGTGTATATTTTAATACAATAAAATACTGGGCACAGTGGCATACCCTCAGCACCGAAGGAGGCTGAGGCAGGAGGATTGCAAGTTCAAGGCCCAGCGAGGGCAATTTAGCAAAATTCTGTCACAAAATTTACAAAAAGGGGTGGGGAGATAGCTCAGTGGTAGAGTGCTCCCAGGTTCAATTCCCAGTACTGCAAAAATAGTAATAATAACAATAATAAATAAATAAAATGAAAAAATTATAACTTCAATAAACATTATTTCTGACCACACATACACTTGCAGAGTATTCTGTTTTTCTTTAAGCAGTTAGGTATGACTGCAACTGGCCATGAGAGCTGCTGGTCCAGGCACCCTAAGAACCACCCTGTCTAGGCTTCTCTTCCTATCTGCCGGCCTCTGAAAGAACTGCACTGCCTATCTGAGGAAGCAGCAGTGCCCTGCCAGCTCCATGGGCCCTCCCGGTCCCAAGCCTTCTCCATGGCCTTGCCACTCCCTCCCACCTTCATCAGGCAGCCAGACCCATGTACGCACGTGGATCTGATCACCCAGCCACTGGAATGCGATAAATCCGAGTTCTGTTCTGATGACGAAGAGTCCAAGCACAAACTGGAGCCCGAGGCCCCAGGTCACGGCCTGCCAGGAGACCTGCCACCAACAAAGAGGTGCTGGTGAGGTCAGCTCCTGGGGACCCTACAGGACAGTGTAGGGTGAGGGTGGAGGGCACAGGGAGCTGTGACTTGTCTGTGGGAGAGCTGGAGCCCTGGGCCTGCTGCCAACTATCACACACACCTGGGGACTCACCATAGGCCATGCCCTTGGCAGGCAAATTCTTACCCTATTTTTCTTGCTCTCTTTCTGCCTGTCTTTCTTTCTTTCTTTCTTTCTTTCTTTCTTTCTTTCTTTCTTTCTTTCTTTCTTTCTTTCTTTCTTTCTTTCTTTCTTTCTTTCTTTCTTTCTTTCTTTCTTCCTTCCTTCCTTCCTTCCTTCCTTCCTTCCTTCCTTCCTTCCTTCCTTCCTCTTTCGTTCTTGTACCGGGGATGGAACTCAGGGCCTTCACACTGAGCTATGTCTCCATTTTAATTTTTTATTTGGAGACAGGGTCTTGCTAAATTCCTAAGTTGCCCAAGCTGGGCTCAAACTTGGTGATTGTCCTGCCTCAGCCTCCCAGAGTGCTGGGTTTATAGGCATAAGCCACCATGCCCAGCTAAGAAGTAGCACTTCTAACAAGCTCTAAGGCAATGCTGATGTTGCTGGCCTGGGAAGGAGACTTTGATAACCATTATTTTAAGCTAACAATTCTTGGAGACCCTCGGCTCTTTGCACAGACTCCAGAGCTCAGGAACATGGGAGATGGTTCCTGAGACTACAGAAAGGAGGGCCAGGCTCGGACTGACCAGAGGTCATTCACCAAGAGAACAAATGCCCCTGGTGGCCTGTTAATTTAAATGACATCCTCAGTTCCCTCCAGGAAGCTCCCCTACACTGCTGGGGACTTTGAGGCCTTTGCTAAGAGATGTGGCCATCCGTGGGGTCTCCCTCCCAGGATGTCCCTCACCAGCTCCACAGGGAGCCTATCCCCATGCTCAGTGGTCTTCCCCAGACTCTGGGCCTCGGAAGGAGAGGCATCTCCCTACTTCCAGGCAGGTTGGCACTAAGCACTCACAGCATGGCGATGCTTTGAGCAGGCAAAGAGGAGAGAGACGATCACGCAGATCCCTGCGAAGGACACCAGCTGCTCAGGCCGCTGGGAGGTATCCAGCGCCAGCCACAAGGCCAAGCCCAGAACCGCAGTGAGGGCGAGAGCTCTGCAAGAGAGAGGCAGGAAGCTGTCATCTCTGCATTTCACATGAATGCACAAGCATACACACACAGGCAAATATACATGCATGCACACAGGAGCACCCAAGGATGGGACAGGCCAAGACCCTCCTCAGTATTCCATGTAAGGCCCTGTGGGTGGTGGGTGGTGGTCAATGGGCTCTTCACTCCGACTGTGGGAACACACTCCTCCCAGCCCTCTGTAGTGCCAGGCACAATCTCCTCTCCTTGTAACTGGTTCTTTCCTAGGCTGTGGGCAGTTTCCTTGGACACATTCACCAATCACAACTTCACTGAATATTAAAGGGACCCTGCAGACCTCCAGAGTTTCCTCTCTGGTCTCTGGGGCTCAGCAATGCATGCCACCCTCCCCGCAAAGAGAGTGCAGTGACATGCCTTAGCCGTGATGGTCCCCGTCCCTGAGGTACTAACTCTGCAGGCAGGTAGAATGCAAAAGCCTCAGCAGTGTGGCTTCCTCCACCTGGATGTCAAAAGATGTGTGCATTGCTTGGGAGGCCAGGCAGACCTACTGTGGCACACAATGTCAGCCCAGGAAAGCTGCCAGCTCCAGCATGGCACTCCAGTCCATAGCAACAGCCATGAGGGGCCAGGTTGCTCAGACTTTGGGGGCCCAGCCACCCCTGCATGTCTGGGAGGGTACATGTGGCGTGAACAATTATTCTGGAGCCTAAAAACTTAAGTGTCTTGCCCTCTTTGTTAGGTTTCAGCTTCCTTTCTTCCTGGCTTGCCTTCTGGACAATGATTTCTTACCCTATGCCTGTCCCACCTCTGTAATTTGGAAAAAGATACTGTACCTTGTCTTGGTTCACAGGCTCCCAGCTCGAAGGACTTTGTCTTCCATCTCAGATGAGACTTTGGCCTTTGGAGTTGATGTCAGGCCAGGTTAAGACTTTGGGCACCCTTGGGATGTTGTGCATGAGGAGGACATGAGTTTTGAGGGGTGAGGGTGCAATGCTATGGACTGATGTGGTTTGTTCCTGCCAGACTCATGTTGAAATTTAATATGATGGCAGTAGGGAGAGGTGGGCCCTTAACAGGTTGTTGAGAGAAGTTAATGCCTTTTTTTAAAGAAATGGGTTCATCCTAGCAGGAAGCAGTGAATTGTTGCCCTCCAAGACTGGATTAGTTACTGTGACAGTGGCTTGTTATAAGTCCAGGCTGCCTCTTCTGCTTGCATTACTTGCTCTTTTGCTTTCTGCCATGAGGTAAAGCTTCATGAGGCCCTCAGCAGAAGACAGCAGTGCTACGCTATGCTCTTGGGCCTTTCAAACTCCAGAACCGTGAGTCAATATAAACTTCTCTTCTTTATAAATCACCCAAGTCTGTGGTACTCAGTTACAGCACCACAACATGGACTAAGACAGGTCTGCTGCTCTCTTCTCTGACCTCTCTCTCCTACACTATGGCATCTCCATGGTCTCCAAGAAATCCAGTGTGACAATCAAGGGATCCCAGCCCAAACTCTTGTCCAGGGACCCTGGGGGCTAATTAAAGCTATTGGCACCTGCACCCTACCTAGCCTGCTCCTCAGACTCCAGAGGCAGTCAGTCCCTCAGGGGATGTGACAAGAGGTACCAAGAAAGACCCCGCATGCTTGGAAGGGCTGGGCTCCCAGAGGTTTTTTTGTCACTGTCACCTGTGGTAACTGGGGCAGAGAACCAGCTGCAGAGAACTAGCAAAACCCTACAAAGATGTGCTGCCTTTGAAGCTGCCCAGCAGCTCTTGTCCCAGGTCCTAGAAGGCAGGCAAGGTGCAGCATGTACCCTCTGACCCAGGACCTCTCTCCCCACTGCAGACAGTGGGCCACAAGCTCACTCACCGGTTAAACCAGAGGTGCAGGCGAGGGTTGCCCTGAAGCATCGCACACCCACTCAGCGTTGGGCCCAAACACCTCTTCAGTAGACTGTGGGCCAGGAAGGTCAGGACCACACAGGTGACAATGCAAAGTGCCAGAGCCCTCTGGAAGTCCAGAAGGCAGGCAGCGAGCAAGAAGGCAGCATATGCTGGGGACAGAGAAGGGGACTCCGTGACATGGACCCCAACAGGTTCCACAGAGGGCAGGAAAGCCCTTTTGGCCTCCATGAGCCTGGCTCTCTTGTCTGGAAATGAGAACAAGGGCCTGCTGTGTCAAAGGCTGCTCTGAGTTAACAGGCAGGACGTGTTTACTAGGCACTGGTTGCATTTCAGAGGAGCTGTGAAGGGGCTAGTGAATCACAACACCCTCAGTGGAGGCCAGGCTACAGCTGGAGCTAGGCGAGCACAGTGATTGGTTTGGGTTGGGACACGTGACCTGTGCCTGGCCAATCTGAGACCTCCCTGGAACTTTGACTGGAACCAGGGGCAGGAGGCACATTCTTCTTCCAAGACTGGGGACATTAAGGCCATCTGTGTTAGTCTAATGTGCCAAGGCTGTCTGTGCACACGGAACACCAGTGTCAGATGAGGAAGCCACTGTTAACAGCTCAGGCCAGAAGTACGGAGGACATAGGTTTCTCCACTGTACCTGGAGAGGGTGCAGAGGGCTACCCCATGGACAAGGTGACGCAATCTAGGTATGAAAGAGTTAGAGGGAATCCAGAGTGCCCAAGCATAGGGAAGTCAAGGGTGACCACTGAAAGGGATAATTTAATGACTGAGTCCCAGCAGCCAAGACCAAAAGGAGATGAAAGGAGAAAACAAGAGTAATTTATGTTCTGTGCTAGAAAGAATCCAATCCTTCAAGACAGACAAATCTGAGTCTGGGTGAAGGTGGTGGCAAGGGGAACAGTAACCCTGCTGAAGGACACCCCCACTGTCAGAGGAAGCTTGAGGAATGGCTCTGGTCTGGCTGTGGTTTGTGTCCCCTGGGGGTTCGTGTGTTGGAAGCTTGGCTCTCAGTGTGGTGATGATGAGAGGGGGCAGAGCCTCAGGAAGAGTGATTAGGTCCTCCGGGAGGGATTAACCTGAGCTGATGTCAGCACCATGCCCTTGAATCTCTAGAACCATGAGCTAAATAAACCTCTGTTCTTTATAAAGTACCAAGCTTCAGGTATTTTGTTATAGTAACAGAAAGCAGACCATGAACAGGGACTATGAACTCACCTCATTTAAACAGATGACCCTGGTGTCAAGTACATCAAGATACTAGGCCCATCACAGTTATCTCTCACCATCCTCTCCCCTCCCTAGTCACCTGTGATGACCTTTGCACCCATGCCCACCCTCTCTCTTTACCTCCCACCTGCCAGGCAGAGATGAGCTGCACTGTGAACCCTCCCCCTCCACCCGAGCTGGGAGCCTTCTTGCACCAGGGCCCCTTACTCTGTCAGTCATCGCTTCCTCTCCTATTTCCCTTTCCTTCTATGAAGTCCCCAGCTCAGCTCATAAACATGTCCACAGTATCTCCCATCAGGAACACATGTCACATCCCAGCCATCAACATTCCCTCCCTGTTATGATAAAAATGTCTCCAGCCGGGGATTTAGCTCAGTGGTGCTGCCGCCTGCCTTGCAAGCACAAGATCCTGAGTTCGATCCCTGGTACAAAAAAAAAGTCTCCAAAGAGCTGTCCATACTTCCTGTCTGCACCATCTCACCTTCTGTCCTTTCAGCCTACCCTTTGCACCTGTACTCTAAGTCACCATGACCTCCTTGTCCCTAAACCAATGGACGCTGCTCAGTCCTGGTCTCACTGGTCCTCTGTGGAGGTGTTACTGATCTTGAAACCCTTTCCTCCTTGGCTTCTGCCAACCCTTCTGAGTAGCTGGTCCCCAGGCTTCTGTCCTTGAACCACTTCTCAATTCATTTTCTGAGTGTCCCTGGGAGTCTTCCTCTCCATAGTGGCCTGGCTGTGATTGGTCCAGCAGGCTGTCCAAATCATTTCCCTCCCTGCAAGATCACCTCCTCCACCTGTGTCCTGGAGCTCTGCAGAGGTCACCCTCATCCCCCTGGGCATGTCACCTGGGCTGGAAACCTTCGGTGACGCAAGGTCCCCTTCATCCTATACTCCCAGTCACTTCCCCAGGGTAGCTGGCATCACCCCCCAGGATTGCTCAAACCCAGGCCACCCATCTCTCACAGCTTTGTTCTCACCCACACCCTGCAGCCACCAACCTGGGCACTTCCCTGTTTAAATCCTTCAGTGGCTCTCTCTGGCCTTTAGTGCAAACTCCAGCCCCCCGCCCTGCCCCCAGTCAGGGCCCTCTCCCAGTGCTCCAGCTCTGACATGTCTGTAAGGAAGTGTCCCCTCACTCCACACTCCCCTCCCCTCCACTGCTGTCTGCTCCTCCTTGGCCATCCCCCAGGAGAGATGCTTTGTGTTCCCAGACATCTGGATTCCGTGGGTGTCTCTGTGTCCCTCTTTGCTGCTGAGGGGGTGACTTGGGAGGATGCAGTGGGATCTGCCTTAGCTGGGGCCTCAGTCCCTGGCTTAGGCAGGAGCCAGCCCTAACTCAGTGACTAATTGCATAAGTGAGTGACCCTGCACTAGGCACGGAGGCTGGGGCGGTGACAGTCTCCTGTTCCAGAAGGGGTGGCAGGGGCTCACCAGCACAGAGCAGGCCTGTGCCCATCCATCGGAGGAGTGCACTAGGTCTTCCTGGCAGGGCCCGGTGCAGGCTTCTCCTGGGGACAGGACGAGCCACATCCATGAGTGAACCCCGACTCCCTCCCCATGTGATCTTCAACCCCTCCAGGTGGAAGCCACTTAGAAATGTCCCCGGTGGTATGGTGCTAGGGCCCAAGCCAGGTGTTGGCCTTGAGATCCCATGAGGCTGATAGCAACTCCAGCCCAAAGCAAACTGAGCCACGATCCAGGGCTTAGGGTTCTGGGTCCCTTCTCCACCCCTACTATCAGGGGACAACCCTGCTTCAGGGAGTGGGAGGAAAGAGCCTTATCAACAGGCAGAAGTGTGTGATGATGGCTGCTCCCTCCCCTGTCACATTTCCACCTGTCCTCAGAGGGAGGTGAAGTGGCTCCCATTCTATTTACTCCCTTGGGACCAGGGACCCTCGTCATCTGAGTCCCCAGTGCCTATTCCAGAGAGAGGGTGGGTGAAACAGCCCTGCCTCTGTCCACCCCACTGGCTTCAAGCCCAGCCCACACCTGGTCAGTTGGCTACCCACTTTCCCTGGGGGAAAGACTAGGACGGGAATTATGCCTGGGGCCCCCTAGGCTGAGCCTCCAGTGGATGTGGACCCAGCACTCACAGGATTCAATCCCCAGCTGGTGTTTTAAGGTGCCCCCGGCCCTTGAAATGTGAGTGAGCCTTCTCTCCAGTCTCCTCACAGGCAGGTGGAGGGACCCCAACACCACCCCTGCCCCTCATGGAGCTCAGCCTGGCTCTGGCCAACGAGGACCCAAGTTCTGGGCTCCTATCAGATACTCTGAGCAGGTCCCTTTCCCTGTGGGTAAAACAGGAGTTTGAAACTGAGCCTTAGGTTCTCCAAGGTACCCCAGAGACCAAATGAGGTGGGAGAGCAATGGGGGACAGGGGACAGTGGCCACATCCACACCTGGGCTCCTGATGGGGCATCTTTCCCATGGTCTGGCTCACCACTGAGGGGGAGGCTGGCCCAGTTCACCCTCCCTCAACAGGGGTTCACAAGTTTCCCACTCAGCCAGTGGCCCCTGAGATCACCTACCATCCCCACAGGCGCTTCCTCTCCACAGTGTGCCCGCCTTGGTGGGGGCTTGAGTCGCTGCTACCAGGGAGCCGGCCTTCCTCCTAAAATGAGGGACAGCAAGCTGAGGGACCTGAGGGAGGGAGAGCCCTGCCACGCTGCTGCACCCACAGACACCTCAGGAGTGGGCTCAGGTGGGGACCAGCCTTTTGTACAGGAAATAAATGGCTACTTAATTAAATTCTTCTGGGCTACCGTAGATCCCTCTTTCACTGTGCTAGATCCTCCTGCTTTCTGCGTGAGGGAGGGACACTTGCGACTTCCCCAAGGTTGGTAAGGGCCAAGAGGGAGCCTCTGAGGACAGCCCCAGTCACAACTCAAGGGTGCCATCCACCTCACTGCCTGTGGCGTTGTTTTGGGGGTGGGGATATTCTTGCAGGTAACATCATGAAAGCTGTCCTGTGGGCAGTGCCTGGCACCATGAAGGGAAAGACCTTGTCAGAGGAGGTTGTGAGGGTACAGGGCATCACATTAAGATCCGGAGTTCGAGTTGTGGTCCTCAACCTACCCCCTGACTGGACAGGACAGGACTGAAAGCTCCTTGAAGGCTGAGATTTCCCCAGAGGTTCACCTCAATCTCTACAGCATCTAGCTTCTCAATGAGACCTTCACTGACCTTTCAGGGTATCTAGACACATAGTAGGTGCTCAATAAATGCTTAAAGGGTGACACAAAGGGGCTGCTTTGTACCAAGGGCTGACACACGGAGGTCTCCTAACCACGGGAGCCAGGAGGGTGGGAGGAGGTGGACAGAGCAGCCAATGAGGAGGCCAAGTTGGGGAAGGCTACAGACCAGGCTTTCCAAGAACTCAGCCCCTGCATTCTCCACACCGAGGGCCGTGGGTGTGAGGGAGATGGACTCTCTTTGTCCCCGCATGTCATCCTCCATGGGCCAGACCTTCCTGCTGAAAGACAGAGTTGGGGAGCACTGGGTGGAGGCCCTGCAGGGAGGCCACAAAATCTACCCAGAGCACTGAGGCACCTCACTGTGCCTGGGCCTCACTCAAGGCCCCCAAGATTCAGAGGAGGTCCCCCTTTGTGCCTCACTCTGAACCCCTAAAAGGCAAGTTCTCGCGAGGGCTAGGATTTCTGGGCAGAAACAGCAAATTCTGTCCCATTCACAGGAAAGAAAAGGAAGGGAACAAGCATCAGATACACAGGGAAACAGAAGGGTTGTGTCTGATACAGGCCTTTTTTGGAAGAGACTTCCCACAACAGGCCATGATTATTAAGTGATTTATTGTCCACTGTACTGTATTTTCTCACTGAAAGAGAGAGACAACATCCTAAAAACGTCATTCTCGTCCCTGGAGCCAACCATACCTGAAATCATTTCTACCCTTAGACTTTTCCATTCCAAGAGCCCCTGTAGTTCCTTTTTGGGCTTCAGCTTATCCAGAAATAAGAGTCCTAAGACTCCCTCCTCCTAGTCCTATTCCTCTCACTTCCTCCTTTTTTCGAGCACTTAGCTCTCTCCAAATGCCAGCCTGGCTAGGCTGACATAGCCAGACACCCACACACGCAGAGCTGTGCACACACCCTGCTCCTACTCACAGATCTGAGGTGAAGAGGTGGCTCTCGAAGAGACAGAAGCCTGGCTTTCTGTGGAGCGCTTTGGGTCCGACCCTTGCTCGTCGGCCAGCCTTCTCAGTTCAGCGGGAATCCCGAGCAGAGTCCAGAGCTGCAGTAGGTTGGGCCTCTCTGAGCCCAGGGCCACAGCCAGGGCGGGACCCCAACTCTCTCTTAGGGAAAAGTGGGGGCCGGCACTGCAGCTCCTGTGCTCTGTCTGCTCCCCATCCTGGGCCCCTCCAGCCACCTCCTCCTGGAAGCTGCCTTCCTTTTCTCACCGTTCCCAGCTCCCCTCTCTCTCAACCATCCTTGAATTTTTATCTTTCATTTTGCTACTCAGTCTCCCTCCCTCCCTGAATCAGTAACTGTTAGCATGGCAGCCTTTTTCCCTAGGCTGGGAGAGAAGGAAAGCAGTGTCACTGTCACCGTAGCAAAGTGTTTCAGGTCTTAGCATCAATACAGTCACCAAAACAAGCAAAACAGAATGACACTGCTTCCCCCTTTTCTTTTCTCTCTTTCCCTTCCTCCCCTTTCTTTCTAAACACGTAAGCAACAGGGTGCAAAGTCAAGGGACAAACACTTTAGTTTTTCAGTCCTCAAACTAAACATTAAACTTGGCTGAGAGGATTGAACGCAGCTCTTTAATAATTAATGCTGCACACTCAGAACAAAATCTTTTAGGACACAAAAACACTCTCTGGTTATAGGGAAGCAGGGCTCCCTGAACCAGCTTGGGGGCTGTTTAGAAAGTGTAGAAAAGGTGATGGTGAGGGGTGGAGCCCCCCCAAAACCATTCTTCTTTGTTGACCATTCTAATTGCCAAAGTATTACATGTGCAGGGTTAAACACTTAAACATCATAGAAACATACAGAATGCAGGAAGTTAAAATTACCCTCATCTGAGCCCTCCATGGATGAACAATGCTGAATCGGGGGATTTTCTCCATATTTCCTCTATGTACCACTTTACTGTACTCATTTTCCACTAGGGGATCACACTGAATGAGCATTTGTAAAACCTGCTTTTTCAGCTGGGCTTGGTGGTGCACTCCTGTAATCCCAGCACTCGAGAGGCTGAGGCAGGAGGATCACTTGGAGTTCGAGGCCGCCCTAGGCTACATAGTAAGTTCAAGGTCAGCCTGGACTACATAGTGAGGACCCTGTCTCAAAAACAAAGAAAAGAGACACTTGTTTTTTCCAGCAAAAATCCACGGCCTCCTCCCACAGTCAGGGCCATGTGCGCCCGTGATTGTAAATGTTTACCTAGAGCAGGACAGGGTGAGCTCAGAGCGATCTTGAAAGGAACCCATCAAGCCCCAAACCAGCTGCACTGCCTCTGCCCCCTCCAGCCCCATGGCCCATCTCTTGTATGCCCAGAGGGAAGCCTACAGGAACAACACATCCAGGAGTGGTCAGGGTAGCCATCTGTGGCTTAATGGCCCTGACCCTCTAAAGTGAGGATATAACAGGCTGTGTGTCATGGTATGAGCCTTGAGCTTGGCCTAAAGGTCTAGACTCACCCTGACTCTCCAAGTTGGCTCAGGTCCTCTCTGTGAGCTGGTGAAGGTGGGCATCAATACCCAGGAGGCCACAAAGGCTGCCAGGTGTTCCTCTCTGCTGTCCGAGGTCCCATTCCGGGGCCATCTTGACACACTGCTTCCATCTTTCAGGCCGTAAGATCTGGGCCTCTCCCCTGTTTGTCCCCTCACAGAGGGGTGGCCAGCAGGAGTCCCAGCTCCTAGAAGCCAAACCTCTTTCTTCTCAGGGAGCATTTGGGGGAAAGTCACAGGCAGGGCAGTTTTGAGGCTAGAGGGTGTGGGACTGAGACCCCCAGGGATGACCAAGAGCTGGAGGACTGGGCATCCTGCCTACTCAGCTGTGTGACATTAGCAGCTCACCAGCCCTGCATGGCCTATGTCCTGAGGATCTGGTCTCTGAGGCCAAGCCCCCAACAGGTGCTGAGTGAGGTGCAGGACTTGGGGGGTGGGCAGCAGAAGAGCATGAGGAGAGGCTGCAGGAACACCCAACATTGTCTCCCCAGGCCTGGCCCCACGTAGTTCTCAGTGAAAAAACTCCACTGCTTCTGGTTTAGTTCTGGGGCCACTTCTGGTTTCAGGGGATCTGGGCCAAAGAGCTGGAAAGGAGATTTCTGCTGGTCAGGATCTGATAGAATGAGCAGGGGCAGGGGCAGCATCATCGGAGGAGCCTGATGATCAGAAGCCTCTGGGTTTTCCTCCCAGCCTATTGCACGTGATTCTTTCTCAACTCCTTCAAGGCGCTGTCTTCCATTGCATTGATTTGTGGGTCCGAAGTGGACAAATTGAGAGGCTCTCCCTGGTCCAATGTCATGAACAAGGCCTTATTACTCTTTCCCAAACCTGCTTCTCTCTCTGAAACCTGGGATGTTTCACAAAATGGACACCAGTACTAGTTCTTTTTGTTTTGTTTTGTTTTTCAGTATTGGGAATTGAACATAGGGCCTTTGCACCAAACTACATCCCAAACCTTTGTTTAATTTTTATTTTGAGACAGGGCACTCCTAAGTGGCTAAGTTGCCTAGGCTGGCCTTGAACTTGTGATCCTCCTGCCTCAGCCTCCCAGAGTGCTGGAATTACAGGTGTGTCACCACGCCCACTCTACTCACTAACATTTTTTGGTTCTCATTTGATTCATTTAAAAAACTGGGGTTCCTTGGTGCAACCACTGTGGAAGTTTCTCAAAAAATTAAAACTAGGGGTTCCATTTGACCCAGCTATTTCTCTTCTTGGTATCTTCCCAAAAGAATTAAAAGCATCATACCACAGTGATGTATGCACATCCATGTTTACAGCAGCACAATTTGTAATAGCTAAATCTTGGAAACAGCCCAAATGTCCATCAACTGACAAATGGATAAAGATGTGGTTTTTTTATACAATGGAGTACTACTCTGCCATAAAGAAGGATAAGCTTGAGACATTTCTAGCTAAATGGATGGACCTTGAGACCATACTCTTAAGTGAAATAAATCAGATGCACATGTTTAAATATCACATTGTTTTTCTTGTGTGAAAAACTGAAAGTGGAAATAGGGAGTAAAATGTATAATAGATATTGGAAATGGGAAGAAAATGTTCAAGTGAGAAGGGGAACCAGAGAGGGGGGAGGGGGAAAGGAAGGAAGGGACAGGGAAAAAAGGTGAAAATAGAAGGAAAAAATGGAAGCGAAGCTTTTGTATATAGGGAGGGGAGGGGGATTTAAGGGGAGGGAGGAAATGGGGAAAAATAGAAGCAAGATATATCATATACAGGTACAAATTCCCTATGATGAGTGTTATCATTATGTGTATCTAAAATGTACCAATAAATGTTCTGCTTCAAGGGAATTCTTTAAATTTTTAAAAATAGGGTTTCTATATGTAGTCTATAGTGGAAAGTAGCAAACATGTAAAAATTCTGACAACACAGCAAAATACAAAGACTGAGGAAATATCTTAGGCTTTTATACCCAGCAGTAACTCATAATACATTTTCCTGTGGGAATGGACAATTCCAAATCTTAGACCATAATGCTATCTTAGCAACTGTAAAACAGGTCCAGATTCTCTTGGGGGAAAGAGGCATCTAACACTCAAAAGACTGAAAAGTTCCAGCCTCCTGGGTGTGTTATCCAAGATGTGTTATTCCCTGGTGAAGTCCACCCTTTGGCCCTTTCTACTCCATGGGGACAGCTGGACACTAACGGTCATTGTCCAACACAAAATGAAACAGTGGAGAGCTGATCGAGCAAGGACACCTGGTGGTACCACCCATGAGGGTTCAAGACCACCAGTCAGGGGGATTCCAACTAGCAGTTCAGAGGTTGCCATTTCTATGCATTTCATGCATTTCATTGGTGCTGTAGGAAGGACATTTCCCTTGTTCTTATTGGTGTTTTCCTTCTATCCCTCCTGCTGCTCCATCTCATATTCACTTTCTCTGTGGGGAGAGGTAGAGATGTTCCCTTTCAAGTTTGATCCAGATTTGGATGTTCTACAAACCTGGGTAGGTTCTAATTCGTATCACCCTGTTGGCTTTCAGGGTGATGTCCCTGGCTTCCCTGGGTTTGGTATCAGAGGCTCTGTTCCCTTCTGGCCGCACCATCTTTCTCCAGTTGTTGCCAAGGCTTCTGGAGCTGTTAATTTGGGTCCCTGAGGCCCCTCACTGAGTCACTATTGATAAGATAATTAGTTGTAGAGGCAAAAATAATTCCTTGGTTGTTCTATCTTCTCCTCCTGTTAGAGAAGTGATCTGACATAACACTCCCAAGCCTCAGAGCAAAGCCAAAGACTTTGCACAGAAGTTGCCATGTGGGGACCTCAGGCTTCCTGGGAAGACCAGGGAAAGGAATCTACTAACAGAGGGCTGTGTCGGTGCTGAAAGAGCCAGCAACCCCAGGTGTCAGTCACATCTAACAACCAGGCATATTCCACTTCCCCCCAACCCAGGCAGTTTCCATCGATGATACTATTCCAGTAGAATTCTGTTCTCTCATGAGAACCAACTGCTCTTCCTGTGTAAACCTGCCAGTTAGAACCCATGACTCATTTTGAAACACTCCTTTCCCTTTCCCTCTGCCTGTAGAAGCGCGTTTCCATATTAAAAAGGCTGTGTCCATTTCCCCCAGAGCTGTGACTTCAGGTCTGAACGTGCCCCTTCACCCCAGGACCCAGCCCTTGGCTGGGCACAGGTAAGATGCCTCCAGCTGACTGCTTCCCACAGGGACAGGAGCTGGAGATCAGCATTCAGGAGTATGGAAGAGATCCTTCCTAGGGCTAGAAAAACAGGGGGCTTGTAGCTCAGAGGAACAGGGTGCTTCTAGCTCAGAGGAACAGGGCTGTGTGGAAGATGGCTCCTGTAGTCCAAGAGCATGGTGGATGACAGGCTGCGTGCTGAGAGCGTCACCTGTACTGCCTTTGTGAACCCCACTCTCACCCAGTGAAGGGGTACTGGCCACTATTTTCTCCACCTGTCCTCCATGGAGGTGCATGACCTGCAAGCAACTCTTGAGGAGCTGAACAGCCTGAGGCAGAAGCCAGGGGTGTGAGCTGTGGGCTAGTGTTGGGAGACCTGATGTCAGGGGAAGGGTCTGCCAGTGTTATTGTCACACCTGCTGTTTGGGAACAGGGTGGAGTCTGGACCCATACTCAGACCCTGTGGCTGTGAACTGTGTTCTCTGATCAGATTCTGTGTAATTGGGGACCTTGTGTGTCTGCATGACTTCCTGAAAAGACCCAGTTGGAACCCCGAAGGGGCCAGTCTACAAGGCAGTCAGCTTTGCCTCTAAGGCCTTAATGGTCCCATGATGCTGTGACGCTCAAGGGCAAGATTACATCAGTTGAAGACATCCTGGTTCTTTAAGAACCAAGCAGTAAGGGCTAGGGATTTAGCTCAGTGGCACCGTGCCTGCCTTGTAAGCACAAGGTCCTGAGTTCGATCCCCAGCACTGAGGGAGGAGGGGCAAAAAAAAAAGAACCGAGTAGTAATATGAGAAGAGAAAGGTTTCACCTAGGGAGAGACAAATTCCTTTTCAGTTTAACTCATCCCACTTACTGTTGTAAGAAGTTTTGCTCATCTCTCTGTCCTTAGAATGAGCTCCTCATGGACCTAAGATCCTCATCTGCATAAAATCCTCATCGTCATAGGATTACCACCGCCCTCTGAGACATCTGCTACTCCCTATGAACCCAGTAAATAGTGGCAAACTTGGAGTGTCTTTGTCTTTGCCTGCTCTGAGGCACTGACCTCCCGTCCCGCCCCCACCCCCACCCCCCATACTTTGAAATTACGAAAGTCTCTATTGTCTTTTTTTTCTTTAGCTTTCGCCATCCCCCTTTCTAGGCAGTTGGAGGATTGATCACCCTCCGATAGGACCTTCCATGTAGCTAAAACCCTGCTTCCAAGAAAGGCAGCTGTGAGCTGTACCTGCCACTTCCAGCACCTGGGGGACAGTGCCCACAGTGAGGGGACGCAGCAGGGCACTGCAGCAGCCACACTGGTGAGAACTGTTTGCCCCAGGCTGCTGGGGCCAGGATGCCAGCTCTGAAGGGACCTTGCCTGCCCTGAGGTCTCAGGGAGGACCTGGGTTTTCCCACAGCCTGGTTCCAGTGAGAATCTCCATCAGGGATTTTGTGGAACAAAGGGGGTTTTGTGTGAAACCAGGGTATGTGGTCAGCACTGCCAGCTGGTCAAATTCATGGGGGTTCATCTCCTCCGGTCCTGGACCCAGAGCAGACAAGACTATGGCCTCACCCCAGAAACCCATACAATCATGTGCCATTGTAGCTCCACCACCCAGGCCTGTGCCTCAGTTCCAGGTACGGGTCCCGAGTCCCATGTGGGGTGTGACCCTTGAGGCTTTGTGTATGGTGGCTGCTGTCCCATGACCCTTTGGAAATAGTAACAGAGAGCCATCTCTGAGCTCCACTAGCTCCAAGG